GCTGACAACTGTGAATGAATACCACCCTCTTCCCCATCACCTTTCTTTAGGCCAAGTAATGATTCCCCTCCACAGCTCATTCTTCCATGAGCAGAATAAACCACCCTATCTAGAAAAACAAGTTCTCCTACCTCTGCAGCTTTGTTATCATCGAAGTTCACATGCTTGAACATCTCAATCACCTTCCAATGCATTCAGATTTCACCTCAACCATCTCTACTTACCAAAGCACTTATCATTTTTCAAAAGACAAATTAAATTCCAACTTATACATGAGGTGAATTTTAACCTTCTAATACTCCATTGTTCTTTTTAGCAATGCTGGGGAACTAATTCAGAGCCTTGCTCAAGATTAGGCAAGGGCTCTACCACTGAACTGCACCTCACTTCTTTTTCGTACTCCTTTAGAGCAGATGATATGAAAATGATGTCATGTTTTCTGAAAAAAAGAGTGCACTGATGTGCAGTTGTGTAGAAAATATACTGAAAGAGGGGTAGGTATAAAGACTTGAGACTGGCCAATTTAAAGAAGAGACAACAAAGATTCATAAAAATCTATGGTTCAATGAAAGAAGAGAAGAAACAAGCATTTCTTCCCACTGCCCTCCCCAGACTGGAGTTTGAACTCAGGGTATTTGATGGTTAGGCAGGTGCTCTATCACCAAGCCTCATCTCCAGTCCCTTTTTACACTGGTTATTTTTGTTAGTTGTGGGGCTTGAATTCTGGGCCTGGGCGCTGTCCCTCAGTTCTTCAGCTCAAGGCTAGCACTCTACCACTTGAGCCACAGCACCACTTCTGGTTTTCTGCTGGTTTATTGGAGATAAAGAGTCTCATGGACTTTGCTGCCCAGGCAGGCTTTGAAGCACGATCCTCAGATCTCAGCCTCTTGAGTAGCTAGGATTATAGACATGTGCCCCATGAGCCCCCAGAGACTGGGTACATTGGTTATTTTTAGGATCTCATTTTTTACCCAGGCTGTACTTGCAGTGATCTTCCTACTGTATGCTTCATACCAAAACCTGGGCTGATGGGGGTGTATCACCACATGGTTTTTTCTTTTCCTCTCTTTTTTCTTTTTTTATTGCTTATTTTTGCAGGTACTAGACTTGAACTTAGGGCTTCCATGCTTTTTTGCTTGATTTTTTTCACTCAAGGCTGACACTCTACAACTTGAGCCATATCTTCAGTTCTGGCTTTTGTTGGTTAACTGGAGATAAAAGAAGTCTCTCAGATTTGTTTATCCAGGCTAGCTTCAAACCTTGATCCTCAGAGCTCAGCCTCCTGAATAGCTAGAATTAGAAGTACAAGCCAGAGTGTCTGGCCAATTTTTTCTGTTGAGATGGGATCTCACAAATTTATTTTTGGGGGGCTGGGAAGGTGGCTCAGTGGTAGAGCGCTTGCCTTGCATGCCTGAGGCCCTGGGTTCGATTCCCCAGCACCACATAAGCAAAAAGAAAAAAAGCCGGAAGTAGCACTGTGGCTCAAGTGGTAGAGCACTAGCCATGAGCTGAAGAGCTGAGGGACAGCACCCAGGCCCAGAGTTCAAGCCCCACGACCGGACCCAAAAAAAAAAAAATTTATTTTTGTCCAGGGCTTGGAAGGTAGCTTAGTGGGAGTGTTTGCCTAAGTGTGCATGAAATCCTAGGTTCGATTAGTCAGCACCACATAAACAGAAAAAGCCAGACATGGTGCTGTGGCTCAAGTGGCAGGGTACTAGTTTTGAGCAGAGCAGCTCAAGGACAAGCCCCAGAACCAAGCCCCCCTACCCCCAAAAAGAGTATTTTTTTCTAATTCCTATGTCTTCACTTCCTTACATCCCATTCAACTAATCTGTTTCCACCTCCCACTTCTGAAATTGTAGACAGCAGACCTCATAACTAAAACCAGCAATCTGCCAAGTGCGACTGCCAATCTTATCAAACATTACAGAAACATTTTAGTCTTCAAGAGGAACCAGTTTCCCATTTCTCCATAGACCTCCTGGTCTGATTTGCTTTTCCTTTGCTGGTACTAGGTTTTGACTGTATTTTTTTTGGGGGGGGGTCTTTTTTTTTTTTTGTACATTGCACTTGTAATTTTGCCATTGAGCTACATCCCAGCCCTGGTACTAGGTTTTGAATTCAAGCTTCATGCTTGCTGGGACAGTGATCTACTACACTGAAGCCACACCTCCTGCCAGATTTTTGCTGGTTATTTTAGAGATGGAAGCTTGAGGACTTTTCTATGCAGGATGGCTTTGAACTACAGTTCTCCAGGTCTCAAGTCTCTTGAGTAGCTAGTATACCATAAACCACCAGGCCCTGGCATCTTTGCTCAATATTCTTCCTCTTTAAACTTCAAATATGGGACCTGAGCCCTATTTGCTTCTCTCCCTACACTTTTTCACTAGTGACCTACCATTTTGAGCCACTGAGACACTTTCTCCCTAAGTGACTTCACCTCTTCTCATACATCTATATGATCATCCCCCAGATTGTTTTTTCGTTTTTGTTTTTGGCAGTCGTAGGGCTTGAACTCTGAGTCTGGGCACTGTCTCTCAGGTCTTCAGCTCAAGGCTAGCGCTCTACCACTTGAGCCATGGCACCACTTCCAGAATTTTGTTTATGTGATGCTGAGGAACTGAACCCAGGGCCTCATGCATGCAAGACAAGCACTTTACCACTGAGTCACCTTCCCACCTCCCCCACCCCCAGCTTGTTTTTGTTGTACTGGTACTGGGGCTTGAACTCAGGGTCTTGACCTCTTGCTTGGCCTTTTAGCTCAAGACTAACACTCTACCGCTTAACCAACACCTTCACTTCTAGCCTTTTGCTGGTTAACTGGAGATAAAACCTCTCGATTTATCTGCTCCAGCTGGCTTTGAACCTTGTTCCTCAAATCTGTCTTCTGAGTAGCTAGGATTACAGGCAAGAGCGACTGGTTTACTCTCAAATTCCTATCTTGAGCCCAAAGTTCCAAACTGGAACATCCAACTGCTTTTTTAACATACCAATTTCATAACTAATACGCATATCAAATTCAACTTATCCTACATAAAACTCGGAATTCTTTCCACCTCCAATTTCTCTCTTCTATTTTCATCTCAGTAAATAGCCTCACCATTTACCTTCTTAGTTGTTCCAAAGTCAAAAAAGCAAGGATTCCTCACTTCATTCCTTTTTCCCTCACCAATCCATTTCCAAGTTTTGTTAATTCGACTTCCAAAATATTTTTTCACCCTTTTACTTTCACATCTCTACTGCTATGAGCCAATCCAAAGCAATAGAAAACAGTGTTCTGTGATTCCTCAGCTCCATCAAGAATTTTCCTTTATTTGGCAGTTCAATTACACTACTAAAACTTTCAAAGACTTCCCATAAAAAAATAAATTCTTGCTAGGTGACAGCAACTCGTCAAACTTGTAATCCTAGCTACTTAGGAGGCTGAGATCTGAGGATCCAGGGACTGGCCAGCCAAGACAGGAAAGAGATTCTTATCTCCATTATTCACCCTTAAGTGGAGAGGTGGCTCAAGTGGTAGAACGCTAGCATTGAGCAAAAAAGCTCAGGTAAAGCACCCAGGTCCTGAGTTCAAGCCCAGTAACAGGCACAAAATGCATAAAAGTAAATAAACAAGGGCTGGGAAGGTGGCTCAGTGGTAGAGTGCTTGCCTTGCATGCATAAGGCCCTGGGTTCGATTCCTTAGCACCACATAAGAAAAAAGAAAAAAGCCGGAAGTGGTGCTGTGGCTCAAGTGGTAGAGTGCTTGCCTTGAGCTGAAGAGCTGAGGGGCAGTGCTCAGGCCCAGAGTCCAAGCCCCATGACTGACAAAATAAATAAGTAAATAAATAAAATTCCATCCATGCAGGGCTGGGAAGCTGGCTCAGTGGTAGAGTGCTTGCTTCGCATGAGGCCCTGGATTCAATTCCTCAGCACCACATAAGCAGAAAAAAGCTGGAAGTGACACTGTGGCTCAAGTGGTAGAGTGCTAGCCCTGAGCTGAAGAGCTGAGGGACAGCAAACAGGCCCAGAGTTCAGGTCCCACGACCGGACCAAACAACAACAACAACAACGTAAATAAACTAATTACTGGGCTGGAGGTGTGGTTCAAGTGCTCAATTCTGGTGGCTCATGTCAATGAACTCAGTTTCCTAGGTGGCTGAGATGTGAGGATCGCAGTTCAAAGCTAGCCAGCCAGGAAAGTTCACAAAAAAATGTATCTCCAATTAAACACCAAAAAGCCAAAGTGGAGCAGTGGCTCAGGCGGTCGGAGGCCAGCCTGAGCTAAAGTTAAGAAAGTGAATTCTGGCCTTAAAGCTCCAGCGCTGACCCTCTCCCTCTCCTTCTCCCCCCCCCCCAAGAAAAATGCCTAAATTTTTGGAGCAACGTGTCAAGGCTGTAGGATACTGGTAATACTTCTCCTCCTCTTGTATTTTTTAGCATCAATCAGTGCATCCTGGGAGAGTGTTCACAAGCGCTTCTCCAGTGTCCAGCAAGGTGCCTTCCACCCGCGGGGGCATCCCTGCGTGGAGCCAGCCTGAGAACCCCTCACCCCTAGGGGGGAGCCGACCGCTGTCCACCCCACCCACCCTTCATCACACCGCAGACTTCTCTGAGTAAACACCCAACTTGCGGGTTGCTCTCCAACCCCCTCCGCAGGCCACCCCGGCGAGCGACCCGAAGCTCGGCCGCTATGGCTGCGGGAACCCTCCGCAAAGGGCCCCCCACCCGCGCAGACGGATCCCGCCTCCGGCCCTCCGAGGCCCGCGACCCTCCCGCACCCAGTCCCCGCCG